AACTGCACGAACCTGTTCACATCTAGCTTTGAAAAATCTCTACAGTCTTTGTACCATGGCATCCAGTCCTCCAAAATCCAGTCAAGCATAGCCAAGTTATTTTTCTTTCTTGTCTTCTCATCTGTAACAGGTCAGTAAAGTTTTAAAAGTCAGCTTACATATGAGTGCAATATAATGTGATCATAGTTAGCACAAAAATTCACTTGACAAAATATTCTTCAATTTTCAATTCCCACATCAGTCAGAAGGTTTGTTAAAAAGACTTTTGTATCAAATGTACACTGTGGTAACTCTATCACTTTAGCCACTATGAAAACACAAAAGTCCATTGTCATAAACAGAGGTCAGATTAAGGGGGAGGCAGAAGGTGGGGTCAAATAAAACTACAGTTAGTAGATAATTTGAATTGTATCTATATTACAACATTATCAATGAGTTGCTCTTACCCAATCTTCTCCCATCATTAGCTTTACGCCAGTTGAGAACAGTCTTGACCACTTTGGCCTCTGTTTCATGCTTGTTATCCTCCATGAACTTTAAGACACCAACAGAGAAGAACTTCTCACAGTCAGGAACAGACTGTTTTCGTTTCCCAGTCAATGCCTCGTACGTCAGACCTGTCTTGTCATCATGGAGAGCATCTCTAAAATACTGGAGACCAACTGATGGAATACACCCTTCTCTGGCACATGTTGTGATACGCTTTAGCACGTGATTGTGGTCTCCCCTCTCATGAAAGAATTCTCCAGTACCAGGACTCTTCTCTGGAACGTAAAGGTGTTCCTTAAAATTGACACCCATGGCAGTAAAGTCATTCACCTTCTTGCGAAACAAATATGTAGCCATCAGGGATTTCAAGGAGTCAGACTTGCTTTCTGGTAAACCTTAAGAAGAAAACACATTCTGCAGAACAAATCGCTCTTTCATCAAAATCTTAAAAGTAATAACATTACATGTAACAAGGGAACACGCCTGACAAACACCCTGTTAATAATTATGACAGTCACCACATAGTTATACAGGCTGTTTCCACTAATGAAGTGTAAGTCTCAAACACAGTAGTATGGTACTATGGAATACTATGGTGTGCTGGACCATACAAACTCTAGAGCGATACAGTACCTGGTGGGAATAATGGGACAGTGGTACTATAACAGTTGACAACATTCTGCTAACAGTTACCTGCAGTGGATATCTTATTCTTTGTTAATTAAACCTTTGGTAATGTATAGTATTTTTGAAACAAATTTTAAGAACATAATAAATACATTTTCAGATTGATTTCTCACCAAGCACCTGGTAAATAAAAACTTGGTCTGCTTGAACTCCGAAATCTTACGTTCGTATGCTGTATACTGTAGTTCAGTGTATTACTTTTACCTGTCTTCCAGGGATGTGGGTCATAGTATACAGGGAAGTGTGTCCTCCTTAACTGAAGAAGTGCTTCCCCAAAAGGCAATCCTTGTTCAATGAAACTGTTCATCTTCTCGACGTCATCTTTGGGTACAGCAGGGTGATGCTCTTAAGGTTCAATAGCATCACCTTAAAACATATTAAATACCTTTCTATGGAGTAGCAGACATGTCTACACTGTTTATTAATTAATGACATAATTACAGATTAACCTTACAATCATGAACTGAGAAGAATTTGTTCATTGCTGGCATGCTACGAATAAGGAAACCCAAAAATTTAATTGGCACGTAATGTGCCACCCTTAACTTTTCTCAATACAAATAATGCTACTTTCAACATAATGGCATCTGACAGTATGGACATACACGTACCTCACATATTAAACACTAGTATACAATGAAGGACGTCAATTTCAGTACTGTAGCACATTGGTTATTAAAATGTCTCTTAGCAATCAAAACTTAATTTTCCATATTTTTCATTCATATATGTTATATACAGAACTGTTATCAAATGCCACAGAAAGAGGATGCTGCTTGAGTATTGCCATTCTGAGCCTAGCCCCACTATTTTGTTACACAGACACACCATTCTCACTTAAATTATTACAACTTGGAGTCCCTCTCCCCATAAAAGATATTCAATCCATAATCATGTACTTAGCAACATGCTTTGGCCTAAGATATCGCTCAATCCGACGAAAGGATATGGAATTTGCTTCTTTTTTGGCATCCATTATCAGCTATATGATAGAGAAATGATAGAGACTGACCTTTGTGACCCCTTGGTCCTCAATGAATTAAACTCACCATCAGTAACAGATCCTTCAAGAGATACAAATAAGGAAAGGCTAATACCTTCAGCTGCTGGTAACATAAATGGGGATACTTATCAGTACCTGCATTGGTTATAAATGGCAATATTACAAGGGATTATCTCTATTCTTAATTTACTAGTACCATAGTAGGCAAAGGTCATAAACTGTGTTAAACTACGTATCAACAACAACCATTCCAAGGTTTCCCATTGNCAATATTACAAGGGATTATCTCTATTCTTAATTTACTAGTACCATAGTAGGCAAAGGTCATAAACTGTGTTAAACTACGTATCAACAACAACCATTCCAAGGTTTCCCATTGTAGCCTTTAACTCATCACGGAGTTCTCTAAGTTTAGCATCTTTGATGCTCTTGAATGGTAGGGCCCGAACAGGGATGGCGTAAGGCTTCAGGTCCCTGCGCTCATCTGCGATCATGAAGACCATCACGTGGGTTGCAGCTTCCCGTCGCTTTGAAAACACATCCTTGATGTACCCCTGAACATCTCTCCTCAATCCCGATAGTGAGGAAGAATATTCCCTCTCTGAATGCTTGGGCCTAAGCACTCGTTGATGATATCTTGACATCGTCCACTCATTTCCATGTTTGAAGCCTTTAAGGTCTCGTAAGCATTCACTTCCCAGGCTAAGGAAACAGGTTACTCTCGGGGACATTGCTCTGCTTCCGTTTCTTTTCATAGGTATCAGTCGACTTGCATCAGCCATCTTCAAGAAACTCAGCATCATTCTGGAGGGTTGTCATTAGCTGTGTGAGATCCTTAACAATCTCTGCAGAAGGCTTTCTTCTGTTCAGACCAATTCCTTTGACGAAATCTAACAATGCCATGTACCGTTGGTGAAGGGCTGGCAACTGACCATTTCCCAGGTCAACATACCCTGACCACTCATGCCGCATAGATTCCATCACCCCTGCTCTCATGTCGCAAGCATCTGCCTTAATCCACCACCATCCATTTGTATTACGTCTTTTGGCAGTTTTCAAAGCCTCAATCTGCAATTCAGTGTATACAAAAGTCATATTGACAAAT